CCTAGAAGGTAGAAAAAACTAGACGCCAATCGCTGTGTAATCAGTGATACAGTATCACCTACATGCATGGAGAATGATGCGTACCAATACCCGGCGGACGACACCAATACGTCGGTAAATAGAGCAAAATTGGGTCGAACTGTACACCCTGTTCTCACAGGCGTGGGTCATATAGGGTTTGCAAGTAAATCACAATTTAACGCAAAGCGTTGCTGATTTGGATTAACTCCGGAAATTAATTAAAGGTACTATTTTAACAGTAAAAGTGCTGCATCTTTTGCCACCAATTGACAAGACAAACAAAATGTTGGTACAATTGCGTCGAGTTCTTTTAGGACGTTGTGGGGTGAGTCGTGCGCTACTGTCGACCACTAACGCCACCGATAGTAGGAGCTTCAAGTTCGAATCGCTGGCGCTAGATGACGATCAGCTGCTTCCCTCGCCCGTCGTGACGCAGCGCGTGCTCAAGTACCTTCAGGTGGACACCAAGGACATTGACCGTTCCCTATCGATCGAGGAGGTGCGACCGCTACCGTACAAGGCGTTATTCGCCCCAAAACAGGCGCACAAACTCGCACCATTGGTACGATGGGGCTTCCAGCAACTTGAAGGCGACCCACAGGCGGCTGACGCCGTGTTCGTTGCGCTAGAGCCACACGCTAATATGGCTCGGGGCGCCGTGTGGCGACAATTCTTCCAGCGCCAATTTTTTCTGTCCGGCGCCCCGATCCGGGCGTATCTGCGAGCTTACAAGAGCCACAGCGACGCCCTTGACGCTTCTAGAGCTCCAGTCTCTGAGGACACCCAGCAGGAGCGAAGCGACGACGATGAAATGGAGAGTAAGGACGCCAAAATTAGCTGGAGAAATGAAATCTCGAGTAAGAACAAGATGGTGGTCGTTCTGGCTGAGCAAAAGGAGTGGGAGTGGGTCCCGCTGCATGTGGCATCCAGTATTGTTAAGGAATTCTGCTTTCGCGGCCGCTTCGCTGAGGCCATAGAGGCGTATGCTTCACTGCCTTTGACAGACTTGATGCGTCGGGACGTGGTGATAGTCTTGCAGGATTATGAACAATACCAGTCTGTGCTGTACCTCTACGAGGTGCATCGCGCTATGGGCAGTGCGGTGAAGCCCCTGGATGTCGCGCCGGAACTTGACGCCCTCAAGAAGGTGGGCCGTGTGGAGGAGATGGACATGCGCTTCCAGGAACTGCCGGCCAAGGAGCAGAGTCGTGCTGACATTCAGAAGATTATGGGCAATTGAGCACATGAAAGATGGTCCCTCGTTACCTCATAACTAAAAATCCAAAACGCAGTAGCGTTCCACCCCCTAGCCATCCGACAATAATCTCACAAGTATTTCGATGCTTTTAAAACTCAAAAGCGCTCTACAGAACGGTGGTGTTGTGGTGGTCGCGGTCATGATGACGGAGTGGTCTCTGAGTCCATCGCGCATGGTGTTAAGGACGGACGTCTTGCTGTCCATCTCGTCGAAGTCCTGCTTCTTCTCGCGGATCACCACGATTGCGGCCATGGCGACCATACCGACCGCAGCACCGATGCACAAAACAACGAAGGCAGTAGCCCCAGAGACGCCCTCCGAGGACGGTGTGTTAACCTGCTGGTCTGCTCCATTGCTTGTCTACATGACCAACGTAGGAGTTGTCTGCACATCTTCGTTCTCGTTCGAAACAGGCTTGGGGGTTACGGTATGTTCATCTCGCATCGCTTTGACAGCCCCGACTAATCGGCGGGCGTTGGCAGAGCGTGATGAGGCTCGTGCTCGCTGTTGAGTACTACTACAAGTAGTAACTGGTGTTAAATATCTTAGCTATTGTATGTAACACGAGCTGCATATGAACCGTAAAAAAACTTCCCATGGTGAAGTCAACCGATAATGTCAACCGTAAAAAACTTCCCATGGTGAAGTCAACCGTAAATGTCAATGTATTTTTAGTTGGGAGTTATTTTAAGAATACTACTGAAAAGTACGACGCAGAAATACTACTGCTTCTGAAATATGAGGGGACCAAATTGGCTGTGCGACGCACTCTGATTGGTCAAAACATTGTAGTCATAGATGTAGCCATGGGAAAGCCCCATAAGTCATCGACCCAAATAATCCATAAATGTATTCACCGTTTTCACGAATGCCTGTTTCGTACTTTGCGAAAGACTTCACGTTTCCGCGCGACTGCACTTTTGCGGGCGACCACACAGTTGAGGACAACTGCACAATTGAGGAAGATACTTTGTCAGGCACGGGCCACGCATAGAAATAGCACGTTTCATTTCATATTTTTCCTTCGCGGAGTGCAAGCGACTGCAATGGGCCTGCCCGAAACTAGTCGCCTGTACGGTGCGGGTATCGCTGCAGCCAAATTTGCCGATCAACGACTCGAGTCTCGCACGCGGGTCGACTATACCGGCAGCCTTCGTCGGTTCACCGCTTTTTGCATAGCTGAAGGATACCCAGACCCGATGAAACAGCGATTTGTTCAGCTCCCAGGCGTACTAGCAGCGTACATAAATCAGCTCGCGACGGCGAACAAGAGTCAGTGGCCTGCTGAGAAGCTACGGGCCGCGATTAGCTAACATTACGCGAAACCGGTAATACTTTCAGGTGGACACCCGCACGATCGCTGGGTTATTGAAACTCAAGCAGATGGCTCGATTGTGCCACGCGGAAACCCCGCCCGATCCGCAGCAATTACGCAAATCCTCGCAGGCCTAAGTAAAGCAAAATAGCGTGAAAGAACTCCAAAGCGCGCGTCACCTATGTCGCTTGCAATGCTAACGCGAGTAATCACTTTCCTTGAAACTGATTCGGACTTCAATGAGACGATGCGCTTGTGGTTTTCCGCCGTGTGCTCGCTTGCCTTCTACGGGATGTGTCGAATAAATGAGTGCTGCTCATGAAGAAAGGAGATATACAGCTCGGACTTCGGCGCAAGTCGCGCAAGAACGACAAGGAGATCGAATTTGGATGTTTCACAATACGCGACCGAAAAACGGACCATGATCCACTGGCAAGTCGCACATACTCTTTGCATCACCTCCCTAAGGATGAGCAAGCCACCGAGGCTTTGACGTACCTGGAGAGATGGCTTAAATATGCATGTACGCGGTTAAACCACAAGTGGGACAGTGGTGACTACGCGTTCCCAGCACTGACAAAGGTTCCCCGCGGCGGTGCTAAACGTCCGAAGAACTCTCTCGCTAGCGCTAGTCCTAATGGGACATTTGGGAATGTTGGCGTTAAATGGGGCGCTCCAATGTCGGACAGTAACTTCACTCAGATTATCAACATTGTCGCCAATGCAGCTGGAATCAGCAAGAATCTCCTTGGGGATGACATCTGGTTTACATCACATTGCTTTAGGCTAGGCGGAGCTCGGTACAGATTTATGTTCGCTCCTGAACAAAGCCGTTGGTCTTTGAAGTTGGTGAAGTGGTGGGCAGGATGGGCGCCAAGTGAAAAGGCTGAGACCGTAACACGATATCTACTAGACGACGTTCTAGATCGCGAGGAAAACCAACTTCGGGATTTGTTGGCCCCTGATGCGACTATACCTACCAATGGGCCCCTGGCAAGCCTTCACGACTTCGACTACAGCTGCGCTCAACCTAGCAACAGTTTTATTTCGGATGAGGCTGGTGATGTGCCAAAGGCGTCTGCTCCCTCTCTTTCGGACTCAATCGTAGGAGACATCAAAACTGCAATTATAGTGGAACTTCGCGATATGATGAAATCTATTAGCTCGGGCCAGAGCTCGGCTCAACGAACGGGAGGCGGCGGCATCGTGGAACCTGAATCGGCTCATATTGCAAATGACTCTGCGAACTTGGTGTCGGAGCTACCAGACGCTAAAGGGTGGCGGGACTATCTTAAACATCTACTGCAGCAACCTGTCTGTCCGTCACACTAAATTGTCGTGCCTGTCACGCTTTTCCGGACAAATCATTGGATAAAATGATTTAAATATTTCTACTGGTTGCCAAGCGCAGCGAAGGTGGCTTTAATTGGTTAAAACTAGATTGTGTTGTTGCATCAATAAATTCATGTGTTTCCCAGTTTACATATGGGGATTTGCACAAGGCTGTACATTATCCAAAGGCATCGTTTAAATATTATATAACTTTTTTTATAATGCATGTTGCTATTGATATTTGAGTACTAAACGGAGGGCAGGGTGCCTATCGTACACGTTAGCATGCGTGTTTCCGAGGACATGGTTTAAGTATACTAAATTCTCTGTACTCAGTAGGATCTGCGTGTTACACTGACTAAAATGATAATTTCAATTTTTTTACTGTAAAAATATTAGCATTAATAAGTTATCTGAGTGGGTTTCTGGTATTGCTAAATCGTATATGTTACATGTACAGCAGTAGCCGGTCGTGTGGACTGGTCGTAAGAACAAAGCTGTGCTTATAAACGTTGTCACTTGATTCACAAAGATAGAAAGTTTTAGATTGACGTGTAAACAAAAGAAGTTATATGTGATGATGACAATTACTACTGTGAGCGAATTGAACTTGACCATTGTTTTCTAAGCGGGTTTTTAGACAACAACATTCTGATACTTATTAATAGGTAGACGCGCAGCGGTAAGATAACAGCACAACATGAGAGGTGTCAATTATGGTTACTATAAGTAGGCCCGTAAAGAAACGTTTATCAACTTAAAGCCTAATCTACGTTTAACCATCCTGACATCATCGTTTAAGTATCAAATACAAATACCGCCGTCAACAACAACAACAGCAAGGCGTCTTGCGACGCATCGTTATATCCAAAGGCTATAACCATAACAGGCACAGATTCGAGTGTCTAATGACTGATTCTGAATCAGCACAAAATGAACACACTTCAATGCATAAAAAAATGCTACAGCTTGAATATTTTTATTAAAAATTCAAATCGTAACACTTTTAATTTTCTTTCAAAGTAGCGAGTTTGGTATGCGAAGTGGTTAATAGTCAGTTTATTACAAGCTTAACCAGGCAGTACAAGCGGGTATTTGATGCAAGCTGGACAGATATTCTTTGTATTGATGCAATTTAGGTTTCAGAAACGGCCCGTGAAATCGAGCACGACGCTGAACTAAATATATTATTTAGCGTTTTTAGACTGAAGTGCAGGTGCTTCTGGGTGGAAGATTAAGACAGTGATAGCCAACAACAATAAAGAGACTTTGCCAAGATCACTAGCGTAAGCGTTTATGAGCATGGTAAGTATGTGCTAGGGGTTCAGTCTTTTGTACCGGTAGAAATATATACACGGCTTACTGGGAACTCAGCATTTTGTAGCAAATGAAACGCAGATTTATGAAATTTAAGAAGTCGATTTAGGCACACGGGGGACTCAGAGGATTTGGACTAATTATCCCGCCGAAGCGAAGCGAAGGCGGGAAGGTAAAACTCTAAAGTAAACCTAAATTACCGCCGCGTAGCGGCGGCGCTCGGCTAGTGTTAACCAGTACTGGCATGCTAATGCGGCATGCCACCAGTTCAGAGCTGGCGTTGACATGCTTCCACATGAACGCAAGTTACATCGATCACGTCTTTCTCGAATGAAGATTATTGCTGAATATGTCCAAGAAAAGCACGCCGGCGACCAGGACCAATTCGAGGCGGACTTTGCACTTTGCATTCATGGTGACCTAACAGTTAACAAAATTCTTGCAGAGATTAGGAAACGTAAAGCGAGCGTAAACATCGTCCTCAAAAGTGCAGTCGTCCTCAAAGTGCAGTAGCTCAGTTATATGCAGTCGTCCTCAATAGTGCAGTCGTCCTCAATAGTGTAGTCATCCTCAATAGTGCGATTGAAAATACACTTCAATAAAGTAATAATGATAAATGCTAAAGGCTAACCAGCACGCATAAAACTCAAAATTAACTAAAACATATGCTTTATGTAGTAATGCCTTGCCGTGCATATTGCCTACTCTGATGACTCTGCTGAAACACTGGTACTAGGTTGGTATTCTTCGTCAGCTGAATCGTTTGAGTTGTCACTCAGATAGTCATCACCGAAGTATATACTGTCGACTGAAAACGGTTGCATGCATGCAGGGCACTTAAAGTGTGCTGCACGATTCTCGCTGAGGTTCACCATGTTGAATACACGTAAGCACTGAATACTGCATTGGTGCGGGCACTGAGGGCCCTCCTGTATGATGTCCCCGTTGTCGTCATTATGTCCGCAAATAAAACACGTCGGCCGAGCAGGGATATGACGCACGATAATCACTTCATCATCCTTAACCTCCATCTCGATATGCGTGCGACAGGTGTGACATCTTTTATCATACTCAAACATCCGTCCAACACAGCTACGGTGGTACGACTGGCGACAGTTGCTGACCACCCATAATTCTGTCTGGCTATCTGACTCGTAGCAGATGGGACAATCCACAGTATCTTCCACGGCATTATCCACAGAGTCGACCACAGAATCGACCACAGTATCGTCCACAGAAACTTCAACAGAAACTTCCTCTGCTTCGTCACAAGACTGCTGTACAGTTTCATTTCGCGACGGCCCCACGATTTCGTCAGGTTGCTGCACCGACCATTCGGCAACTTCAGACCCATCATTATTGACGAACTCAGCAAATTCTGTGTCAAACCAGTTCCAGTCTACATCGGGTACGCTGATATTGCTGTCGGGATCATCGCCACCTACTGTGCTGTCATCATTGTTGAGTGTTTCGCTATCCAGTGATGCCTCATCAGTTTGTAAAGTGCCACCATCAAGAGCATCCACTTGTGGCGCACCATCACCCTCGTTCAATAGATGTCCCAGAATGTCAGATTCTTGCCGTTTCTGCTCACCACTAACACTCCCTCTGCGACGTCGACGGTACGCTGCGTCGCGTTGGCGCCGCTGCTCTGCCATATGGTTTTTGCGATTGGTCCTTTCTACTTCCGTCATGCAGCGACTCGATCGCTTGTGGCGCTCCAGCTGGTAGCGGTAGCCTTTAATCCACTGACAGCACACGTCACACATCCGAAATGGTGGGGCTGGCAATCCCCGACATGGCTTTTGGAGGTGTCGACTAAGATTGTCGGCTCTGGAAAACTGGTGATGACACGTTTCGCAGACGTGCTCCAAGCTATCAGACAGTAGATCACAAATGTCGATCCTAATATTAATAAAAGTAATAAACATTTTTAAGTACATTGCAGTACGTTGCTACAAAAAATAGTCCTCTCACTGGTCGCACGTGCGATTCTTGGTCGTCGCACCAGTGGAGCAGGGGGCTTCGCAGTAAAATCGATAATGAAGTCTTATTGTCAGCAGGCGGCGGCTTCTACTGGTGCGATTTTTTGGCGGTATGACACCCAGAGTCCGCCTCTACATACCTACCCTTATTAGGCACGCCAGTGGGTCGCAATAGACCAAGGTTCATTTCTCATGTCGCAGTCCACTTCAAACATACATAATTTCGCACAAGTCGAGCGAAGTCCTACTTCTTCTCATTAAGCTTGTGAAACGCTCTCTGTCGGAGCTCGCAGGTGATCTGCGTGAGATCAGGAGATCTTGAGACGTCGTATGATAAGGATGAGATTGGGAAGAGTCCTTCACGCGAAGGTGAGCTCTGACGGAGAAATATGAGAAGGACGAGCAGTTAAGAAACCTCTCACAGGAGAGGATGCATATTGGATTGCCCAAGCAGACTTAAATAAGAACTAAATACAATCAGTCTTCAATCCTCCACACAGAGCACAAGTAAAGCGCCCAACGAGCTCCGACGATACCTCACAGCAACCAAACTCGCGTGATGTCCACGATACTGACGTCCACGGCCTGAACGTGGCTGCAGACCCGTTCAAGATTGTGGAGGGGACGCACGCTTAGGCAGCCGCGTCCTATGCTCCCGGAAGGGGAAGCCGGAACGCCAGCGCAAGCTCTGAACGTCTGAACAGGCTTGAAGGCCTCCTCGAAGGAATGGCGAAGCAACAAGCCCAGTTCATGGCAAACCAGGCGGAGTTTCAGAAGCTGTTGAAGCAACGCGATGACACGCCTTCCTTTGAGCATAAGTACGCAGGATCGAGCGCGTTCACATACTTCATTAAGGCTCGAGGCCGACGAATAAGAAAAGGGTAGCTTGATACGTCAATGAGGACAGTGCCACAGGTGATGCCAGCTACAGAGATGCCGACACCGCAGACGCAGAACGCGATGAACACGCATCAGCGGATAGATCCACCTACAGCGGAATAATTTGTTTTACCACTCAACTTTGGACTCAGAGTCCCGAAGCCACGCGACCTGGACTGGCCGGGCTTCGCGAAGTTCACAGACAAGGAAGTGTACCCTGGCCTCGATGCAGACTTCAAGGCGTGGGGACTTAGATGCCTACAGAGGCTGGCTGGAGATCAGCAGATGAGTGGTGGCGACTGGTCGGAGGAATTCCGAACCCTCGCACACTAAATGGCAAGCTAGACGGAACTGCACTAGTGTACTTTGAAAGAATGATTTCACT